AATTTCATTAATGATAATCCCCTTCGTCTGATAACACAATATTGTATTATGAATGTTCCTTGGCAATAAAAATTATACCATTCAATTTCTTCCTGAGTGAATTCAACACAACATCGTCTATGTATGATTTAGCGTAGGGTAAAATTCCTTGCTCAAATACAGCAAATGTGCTTATAGAGATAGTTCGTGTTCAAATTCTCATTTTCATTAAATCCTAGTAATTTTTAAAATTCTCAAATCATTTTTTTCAACCATTCCAACATTTTCATTATTGAAGCTTGACTATTGAATTGTTTGGTGATGAATGGTATATTTTCCGCGATAAAGAGAGACCTTACAAAGAGAGAGGCCTCTTTATTTTTTCCACTAAAGCAACTGAAAAGTTCACTTTTTTCATTATCATTTTAAAGTATGAAATAACAAAAAAATATATAAAAATGTTCCACTAAAAATATAATTTATCAATGGTAAATGGATTGTTGGCCAGTGATGTGGTAATTTTTATTTCCGAAGTGCTTTTTAAATGTTAAGAAATTGCCATTACTTGATGTGCTGCGTTTCGGGCAGTTCGGTGAAAAGTTTTCCAAGAATGGCTAAAATATTAGTTGTATGTCAATTGCAATATAATGACTATCTTGTTACAAAACAATTACAAATTCTATTAGAAAGTATGTGTAATGTTCTAGCATTCATAGAGCTCGTTAAATTTTCATATCAAATTCGAAGTATTGAGTCTATACATTCTTCCCCTAAAATCCACAGCAAATGAAGATTCCAATGGATAAAATAGAGTCTCTTAAGTCGAAATAAATGCGAAATTAAATTTTCAAAACAAACATACAAATCTGTTTGTTGTCTATATAATTAAATTTATTTTACGTGTGTATTTACATTTTAAGCATTTAGAAAATTGCTTTGAGAGTTGTCTGCACACAGATATTTCTTTCTTTCTGATAGTATTTCTTTCTCTCTGTTAATATTTCTTCTAACTTTTTAAGCCTTAACATATTTTATTAACTAAATTTTATTGTTTATCATTTTCGATCACTTTTGTTAATAATATATCCTTACATTGTACTGATAAAATTGAACTATTTATATACTACTGCAAGAATCGAATTCGCAACCAAGCTACGCTTGGGAAGAAATAAATTAACATCAAATCAACATGATCTACTGTTTTATTAATTATTGTGAAGATGCTAACTTTCTCTGTTCCATATCGATTGCATGAAATTCTGTTCAGCAGTTTGTTTTGAGTTACCAACACATACAAATGTTGTCATTACGACAATTCAAGAATATTATCCTTGGCTGTCTTACTTAACATTTTCTAATAAAATGTATATCAGTAAATGTAATTTGTAACATTAAGACAGTGTTTTTAAAAATAATTAAAAATATATCGAAAGTAACACCATTTGCCGTGACAAATGGCCTCCGGAAATGAAGTAACAGTGTTGTCATATAGTCACAAGTTTCCTGCTCCTGTGCGGTGAAGTGTCGAGCTGTGATCGAGAACGCCCCGTGGTTTGCGTTTTATCAATTAATTGTTTATATAATTACACGGCTGTGAAGAAGTCATGATATCTTAACAAGAGACAAGTGCAAACATAAACACTTTACGAAGAGGCGGGGCTAAACAGCTGTCGCAGAGCAGGGATACTTCTCTGAATTTCATGTGATGTTCACTTTTTAGCGAACTGTCTTTTTGGCTCATCTTAGGCGGGTTCTTCTACATCCAGTGCGAGTCGAAGGGACGGAAAGAGCCAGGCTGGGTACAGCACAGGAAGAGCGAAGTGATGTGGCACGAGTCTTGAACGTCAGACGCGTATTGTCACACAAGTTTCCTGCTCCCGTGCGGTTGTGTCGAGCTGTGAGAGAGATGCCGGGCGAGGATAGGAGGGGAGGAGTGGGGCCGGGTGCGGGCGTTGGGCCCGGTGCGGGGCGGGAAAAATGGGGGGCGGGGGGGGGGTTTTGGGCCGCGGGGCGATTGGGGCCGGTTTGCCCGGGGGGGCCGAAATTGGGGGGGGAGGGTGGCGGGGGGGCGTGAATGGAAAAAAAAGCGGAAAGCCGGGGCGGGGGTTGGTTGAGGACGGTGGCGGGGGGGCGGGGGCGGGCGCGGTGAGGTTGCGGGGACGGGTGAGGTGGCGGGGGCGGGGAAGGAGTGGGCGGGGGGATGCGGGGGGGTGGGAGGGCGCGGTTGGGAACGCGACATCGTAAATCAAAGGCGCCCGATAGCAGCTGGCCGCGGGTTCGCCGCCTCGCCGCTGACCACTCTCGCCACGTAAGCACCAGACGGACTCAGAGCTTTGGGGCAACTGTTCAAGAACATCATCATCCTTATTATCAACTTCAAATCCTCTTTATCAATCACTTCATCCTCTTTATCATCAACTTCATCCTCTTTATCATCAACTTCATCCTCTTTATCAATCAACTTCATCCTCTTTATCATCAACTTCATCCCTCTTTATCATCAACTTCATCCTCTTTATCATCAACTTCATCCTCTTTAATCATCAACTTGCATCCTCTTTATCATCAACTTCATCCTCTTTATCATCACTTCATCCTCCTTTTATCTCAACTTCATCCTCTTTATCATCAACTTCATCCTCTTTATCATCAACTTCATCCTCTTTATCATCACTTCATCCTCTTTATATCAACCTTCATCTCTTTTATCATCCAACTTCATCTCTTTTATCACAACTTTATCCTCTTTATAATGATCTTTCTCATCATTAATGCGTCATCATACGCCCTGCCATCATTGGCATTTCATCATAACATTTTATCATCATTATCATGTCTTAAATATCGTCCTTTAGTCATCATCATCATTGTCATCATTATCTTCTTCATCACCCGCCATCGTCCCTTCATCCTCATCGGTCCTCTATTACCATTTGATCATCTCTTCATTAATTATGTTCCATATTCCGAGGGCCCGCTGCTGAATCTTTTTCGTCTAACTGCAACTCTTTTCTCTCCCTTTGGGCGCTTCAATGTCGGACAGTTTGTGGAAGACGGTTTATTTCCAATCCTTATAAGAAGTTCTATATCTTTTCATTCTCATTTCTAATTGAATTAATTTAAAAAAAATCATTTTATTTATCGTTTTTTAATACAGACTATCTTCTCGGTATTGTTTCATAAATTCTTGGCAGTGGAAACAAACTGTTACAATGAAGTAGCGACCAGATGTAAAATC